CATTCTTATCATGCTCAAGCCAAGCTTCCACCCCCACGGGTGGGGAGATGATGCGATGAAAACCCAAAGGGTAAGACTCGGCTAGACGCGCCATAGAATCAGCTGCAAAATTTGCTTCCCTGTGAACGTGTTGGATCTTAACGCTCCAGTCCCTTTGAATCAGTCTCCGGATGGTCATGACTAGTGCCTCATGAGTTCCAAACCCGCTCCCCGGACCACAAGCCATTTTGTGCACACAAGCACTATCGACCTCGACAAAGACTTGTCTTAGACCCAGAGCCCAAGCCAACTGTAAGCCTTGGAAGAGGCCCCAAAGCTCGGCCCCCGTGATGGTACATACTCCAATATTATGGATAAACCCCTCAATCCAAGCCCCCGCTTCGTCTCGTATGAGGCCGCCCGCATAGCTCCTCCCTGTTGATCTATTCGTCGCCCCATCGGTATTTATCTTAACCCACCCCGGATCAGGAGGGACCCAACGAATCAGACTTGTGTTCTCTTTTGCTTTTACAAAACATACAAGAACAAAAATGGGAAATAATGTAATGAAAAACTTAAAAATGTTTACAATGATTTAAAGTGTGCTTGAATACAAATATATCTGTTCAAAATGAGTTTATTTAGTTGAGTAGGGTTAATTTTTATTTAGTTGAGTAGGGTTAATTTAAAAAAACATAGTAGGGTTACTTGTTAGTGAAAAATTTTAAATTGATATCAATATAGTTTTTAAAATAATAATTAAAGATTTAATTGAAAAGTAGGAAATACATGATGTGAAGTAATGATTAGTTAAAATTATGGTATATAGTGAATTAAAGTTGATGTGATGTGTAAGAATTATTGATTATTATTATTTAATTATATTGATAATATTGAGAATACTGGAGTTAGGTTAAAGTTAGTTAGATTTTGAGTATAAATTAAGAATGTATTGAGTTATTTTAAAAAACAAACACAATCTTAGTGTTATGATAAAATATAAAAATAACTTTTGTGATGATAGAAATATACCAATTAATTAAAATCAAGCATATATCTTCAATAATTGAAGAAATTGTTCATAAACTAATTAAAAAGGAGAAAAAGATACTTGTACCATTTTTTTCTATAACATTTCATGACAACTTAGTAGTATGATGATGTAGATAGTTGAGATGTAAATAATGATGATAATAGATGTGTGAGATGCAAATATTTTAAATATATGGTAAGATTTGATTCCATCGAAATTTATAAAACACATGTATGGTGTTTGTTGGGTGGTCAATTAGCAAATAGATGTATTGTAAAATTTGACTTTATAATAAGAAATTTATGAAATACAGAGTAAAATAGTAAAAACTTATTTTAAAACTAAAAAAGAAAAAAGAGATACCACGACAAAATAGAATAAAATTGATAGTCTTAATTTTAACAAACCATGGATATTTACTAATTTTTATATTATTACTTTATCCAAGCGAATAATGGAACTGATGTAACGATTGGACATATATATTATGAGTAGTCTTTTTGTAATGCCTTTTACATGTCATTTATATGAACATGTATTATTATTATTATTATTATTATGCCTGTATTTAGTATGATACATTCTGCATTTCAGATTTTGTATGTATTATGAGATATTTCAAACTTATGCATGTTTAGTGTCTTTATCTCCGTGGTAGCTTTATATAAGAAATTTGAATAAGTTGCATGTATTTATTTACGTCTGCATGAGAAGAAGTATAAGTTAGTAGCATTCCGTAAGTTAGTATAAGTATTTTTGAAAATAAAGTTAAAGAGTTTTTTAAAAATAAAAAGTAAAAATTTTACTCAAATTTTATAAATTCTAGAATAATTAGGCAGGGTGTTACAGTTGGTATAAAAGACGTAAATTATTTTATATGAATAATTTGAATTGAATTCTTAACTATTAAATCAAGTTGAAGCAAATTCCAGAGGAGGGCAAATGGCCGTCTATCATAGGATGACTAAGGCGGTCCTCAATTACATGTCTTTTCTCCATTCAAGCTACATTTATTTATACATAGATAATATAATATAACTATATATATATTTATATAATCTGCAAATAATATATTTTTTTTCGTTTGATGATTAAAGTTGCCATTCAAAGCTACATTTATTTATACATAGATAATGTAATATAAATGTGTATATATTTATATGTCTTGCGAATAATTTATCTTTATCGTTTGATTAAAAGTTTCCAAATAAATTCAATTGAAAAATGGTTCATCCTCTATTATATGTTGATTTCACTTTGTTGCAATTCAATTATCGACTTTTGATCGAATGTTTAATTGTTATATTAATACAAACACACTGATATTTTAAATATATAGGTTGATTCAATAGTAAAATATGCGAATCATTCGTCTTTCCCATTCTCTTTCCCCGTTTCGCGGCAAAAAATTGATAAAATTTTAACGGAAAATTTAATGTAAACATATTTTAATGGAGTCTAACGAAAATTTCAATAAAAATATTCTATTATAACAAATAATTTATTAGAATTTCTGTTAGATATCGACAACTGCAACTGTAAATTTTCAAAGGAGTTGCAAATAAAAATTTCAACCGATATTTCATGGCCCAACCAAAATTTTATAGTAAAAATCTGTTGAAAAAATAGGCGTTGAAATCATCAATTTCTATTTAAAATTCTAATGAAAAACTCTTACTCTGATGAAATATTCTTTGAAATTTTCATTGGAATATATTATCGTAGGATTTTTCGTGTAATGTATATTTTTTTTTTAGTGATCCTTCAATTAATTCTTTTTCAATTTTGTTGGTCTCACTTTCTAAGTAAAATTACTATTTAATATAAATGAAAATTATTATTAAAAAAGTAATACTTGATTGAGCCATGGAACATTTTGCACTAAACATTTATGAAATGAGAAAATGATTTTTTTAAAGGATAAAATTAGTAATGGGAAATAAATTAAAATCATAATTTGAAGGGCAGCCTTTTTGTCTCCGGTCAAAGGATGTTAAGTGAACCAAATGATTCCACACGTTTGTGCCCTTATTCATTATTGTTATTGCACCATCATCACTTTATCTCTTTTCCCCACTCAATCATCACCATTCCCCTCAAAATCTTAATTAATTCTCCATCTTTTATTTATTTTGTCTTCATTTGGATCAGAGGGGTTATAAATGCTTGATATAAGATTATTTGATTTTATTTGGATTCTTCGATTTGGTAAAATTAATTGTTAGTGGAATTTTCAATTTATGTTAAACTAATATTTATAATAAATATTTAAAATTAATTTCATGTAAAAGTAGGAGAGAGATGATGTGAAGTGATGATTAATTAAAACTATGTGTATGGATGAATAGTAAATTAAAATTGATGTAATATGTAAGAATGATTAAATAATATTATTTAATTATATTGATAATTTTAAAGATAGTGGAGGTTGAGTTAAAGTTGAATTAAATTTGAGATAAAAAAAGTGCCTGGTTAATAATAATAATAATAATAATAATAATAATAATAATAATAATAATAAATGAATGAATGAATCAATAAAACAATCAATAAATAAATTTGATGTCCCCTTGAATGACTTATAAAAATACGGTTTTGCTATGAAGCCAACAGTTGGCTTTATAGTGGAGCCAACTGTTGGCTCCACTATGTAATCTCCTATTTAATTTAAAAAACAAAAAAAAAACCTTCAAAGGCTGTTGATTTGTAGGGATTTTCATCAATTGTTGAATAAACCAGAACTTACGATTCCAGAGACTTGATCACTTCCCTATTACGGATCTAAAAATTAAATTCATGCAATCTCTTGCATGTAATAGTCTAGATGTTAGACGAGTCGACTCGTCATACTTTTCACAACAAATTGGATATATGTGCTAAAAACGTCACTCTTTGATGATTATGTAATTATGTTGATTTTTAGAATCACATTTCAATTTGAAAATATGCATATATGTAAAAAAAAAAAAAATTATGACTGCGTACGGGACAACTTACAGGGACGAAGGCAGCTGGAGATAGTCTAAGACCATATTATCAGTGTTCCCTAGTACATCCAACTTGTATTCTTGAGAGCTATAAAGATCAACATAAAAATAGATAAATAATAATACTAATAAAAAAAAGACGTGTAGATAAAAGACAACGTTCAATAGATAATGCCATTTAACGATTATGGTAATCTTAATTTAAAATGAACTTAAGTAGACGAGACAGGCCGATGTCCAATAGGCGTGTCGACGCCCATGGAGCTGAAGGAGGGGCAACACCGTTATCTACACGCCCATAAAAAATTCGAAATGAAAATCATTATTCCAAAAGAAAAAGAAATGAATGCTATCGATTAAATGAGAATGATAAAGTGTAGTCACTTAATAACAACTGTTATTTAGCATTGCAGCAAAGGGCATGCACACGAGAAAGTGGTTTGGGATCTCATTATAAACATTCACAGGCCTGAACATATTTGGGAAAAGAAGAACAGACACAAAATATGAAGAATCAAATGCTTTGGCTGGGAGAAGAAGGTAGTACAAGCAACCAGTAAAAATAGACAAAACAAAAACAAGCTTATCAATATTTTTAATCGGTTAAATTCTTTGTCTGATAGTTTTCAAAGTAGTTTCATCGAAATTTCTATATGATAAGATGGATGCACCAGTATCATTACTCTAATGCATGAAGACTGAACATAAAAATAACCAGCAGTTCTCAAGCTCTTGAAGTAATTTTTCTTGAGATAAGATAGATGATCCAACTGTTAAACACCCAACGGGATGGTACCGTAATGGGACCGTAACATTTCCCTATAATCTAACCACGTTTCTTAGTTGGCAAAAGCAGAGAAAAGTCATGCGATAACTATCCCAAAGGCTGGAAACACACAGCGAAAAAAGCCATTTAAAGTGTGCAAATCTGTTGGAAACATCTTGTGTATATTACATAAACAGTCTTTTCACAAACTCTCCACAAACTGAGAAGTTTGTGGATCATTTACCCTTCCAACGAATATAAGTATTAGCAAAAGCTCACACGGATACAAAAGATCAATTGACGAAATAGTAGAACACGGGTCGGTAAAGCTCTGTTGAGGACTGTCCTACTACTCATCCTTCAACAAATTACGGTATAGGTTATAATACTCATACACTTTATGATAAGTTCTGTTTCTAGATAAGATATATATGTATATATATACATTATACACTTCGACTTACACACAGATATCACTAAAGAAACATAAAAAGAAACCCATAGAAAACTAACCATAAATAATAGCCAATGCAACAAGTGCCATCATCAATCGCAAAGGATCCATCAGTAATCATTTCCGATATATAAAAAACACCATCCAATCATTTCACCTAAAAAGGAAGAAGAAAAGTAAATTCTTAGATATATACACACAACAGACTTAGCGGGCATTGTATCAAAACACTTAGAATTACAATCAAAATATCAATAGACGCAAAAGGATGATAACTTGGTAAAAAATATTACAATCATTGGCACGACATTTGTTCGATTCATCCAATCAGTACTTCAGAGAGAACTAATTGTTAACATTAACTGGCCCTAATTGCTGTGGGATCAATCTTTTCTCCGCAATGCAAGATTATATAGCTCATAACTATCCCCCATTTCAATAGCATTCGCTCTGTTTTATCGAAGAAAATTCTAACTGAAGAAGATGAGGGATTTCTTCCTACTGAGCAAAAACCACGAAACAGGGTTAGAGACAACAAATCCTTAGAAAATTGAGGAAAACCCACATTATAAACATCAACTCCATCGACGAGGAAATTAGACTTGTCGTCGTCGGACGATTGAGTAACATCAGTTATTTCCTTCACCGTCACCAGAGACATAGCCTGGTTATCCCGACACTAATTTAACCAAATTGAAACGTGAGAAATAGATCTAACACATGTTGGGTGGTATTTTCAAATTTTTTCCTTAAATTACTAATTTTCGAGCTCATTTTTGTGGTGCCATTACCTTTGCTGAGACAGGGGAAGGAACATGCTGAGAAGAGATGAAGCCACCGCCGGCGGAGAAGTTCATCCTCCGGTCGCATTAGCTTCCCTTGAACATCATCTTCCTCCTCTTTGCGCCGGCGAGTGTGTGTGTGTGTGAGTGTGTAGTTTGGAAGTAAATTTGCTGAAGACTGAAAGATAGGAGGGTTTCGTGCCCTTTCAAGAGGATTTTGCCGCCATTTTTAGTCCCGAAAATACTAAAATAGACATACTATGTTTGGTAAAATTAGGTTATAAGTTAGTTGATAGACGATAAACTAATTGATAGCTAATGTAGTTATATTTGGTAGTCAAATAAGCTAGTTAATACTTATTTGGTTAACTCATAAGTTTCATGTGTTCAAATATGCTTGGTTTGTAGGACATGCTTTTTTAAAAATCACGAGCTTATCTCATAAGTTTTTTTGGATAATTTTTCAAAATAAGCTTGTTGAAATTTTTATTTCGACTAGCATATCATCAAGGTTTACCAAATACTCATATCATGACTTATAGCTGAAAAGCTAGCTTATATGATGAAAGTGTTTGGTAAAAAATTAGCTTACAAGCAAATTGAATTAAAAATTTCTGACGAGCATATTTGAAAAACTACCCAAAGAGGCTTATGAGATAAGCTCGAACTTTTTAAAAAAATTGTTCTACCAAATGAAACTTATTTAAATACGGGAAACTTACAGTAATGTTCCCGTACCCACGATGGGTACATGTTAATATGTCCACCGCTTAAGTGACATACACACATTGGTGATGTTAATATGTTCAAAAAATATATCACCAATGTGTGTATGCCACATAAGCGGTGGACATATTAACATGTGCCCACCGTGTGTAGAGGAACATTACTGAGGAAACTTTTAAGTTAACTAAATAGGCTATAAGTTAGCTTATTTAGTTACCAAACATAGCCCTAGCCAACATCCCGACTATCTGGATTCGTGCCCGTCCTAACGGGTCAAGGGTCTACAAGATAGAGCCGCCTCAGCTTAGTGGTTCAAGATCGTGGCCCCTCGATTATGGATTCAACCTTAATAGTGGGACGCTTTTCACTTTTGAATTGGGGAATTTATATTTGTATTGTATTGATTGGAAAATATTTGTAAATGTACGAAGGTAAAACATATTATTGAATTTGTACCTAAATGTCATTTAATTGTACAACTGCCAGGATTTCACTTACCAAAAACTGAATTGCATATCCTTGATTTACGTTAAACCGTTTGGATTTATCAGTTTCCCTTGATATATATATATATATATAATGGAAAATCAATATATCCTATAAAATAGGAGTTTTTATAGGAGGTTGTTCAATAAAAAATAGAAACATAATGAATTTGAATTTCAAAAGCCATTACAGTTTATTCTTTTTGACGGAAAAGCTGAAAAAACATGTAATTTTTTACTTGTCGACCTTATTTGTTTATTTCTTACAACACATTGTTTAATACCCTATATTGAACGTATATATTTTGTTTCGTTGATATTTAAAAAGTTTGTAGCGTTCTATAAGAATATATACAATATATATACATCACATATACAGTCTTAAAATTTACTACAGAGTTGTAGCGCAATATACTGTAAGTATATCATTCGTGCACATATACATAACATAATCGTGTTATATACTACCTGCAAAAATAGGTATTTTTTACTTGTAGATCTTTATTTTGTTTATTTTTTACGATGCATTGTTTTGATATTGGATATTAAACGTATATGTTCTTGTTTTGATACTAGATATTAAACGTATATGTTCTGTTTCGTCGATATTTAAAATGTTAGTGGCGTCCTACAAGAACATATACAATGTATAAACATCACATATACAGTCTTGAAAACAACTACAAAGTTGCATACTTGTATAGTGTAAGTATATCATTTGTGCACATATATGTTGGTGTTATATACTTAAGTTTTGCTTTAGTGGATATTACACTTGTTATTTTTTGATGGATGAGAATTATGTTTGGTTAAATAAGTTCCACGTTCTGTTGTTTTGCATGTAGATAAGTGGGTCGTCATCGGGCGTACCGAAGATCACTATATCAGTTACTTGCGAAACAAGAATCATTGGTTCACAACCTAGATGGAATTGAACAACCCATCGGAACGATTGTAGTGTCAACCGTACGGTTTGTCTTGACCGATTTGTAATGCCCAGTATATTATTTTCTATTTATGGAGCTCGACTATATTTCCATAAATATTAAGTTCCCTAATTTGATGCATTTATTATTATTAATTGCATTAAATTGAATAATTAGTATTAAAGTCTAAGCCATGTAGAATTAATTCGATTTTTAATTATTAAAGTCGGATTTATTAAGTCCAAGTATCGGTTCTAATTTTTAAAACCAAGCCTTAGAAATATCAGAAACCTTATTAAAGCGGACCGTAACTGAATAATCAATTTATTCGAGTCCAATTATTCTAGCCAGCCCATTTAAGTTGAATCGAGTTCAAGTTCAATTTTATTTTAGTCCATTTTAAATTGAGAATATGTCGATTTTTAAATTTAAGTCCAAGTAGCAATTGATATTTATTCCAAGTCATATTTTATTTAGCCCGATTTCGTAGCTGAAATAGAGCCCAAGTTTTAGTAATTTTAAGCCCAATTTGAAATGCTAAAAGCCCAAATGTGAGCCCATTAAGACCACAAAACCCTAATTCCTACACTTACTCTATATATACAATCACCTCCATCTTCCCCTTCATCATCATCACCCTCACACCATAAAAACCGGCCAACTTTCCGGCCACATTCCGACGAGCCCGAACCACCGACGTTAAAGGCACCTCCGAACTGCGCCTGTAAGCTCGAGCCACGCCACCACAGCCCTGGTTCACGACCCCTCGCAGCTCACTCCCTCCTGACGTCGGTGAGCCGTCGCTGCCCACCTCGGCCTCAATTTCCGGCGAAGTCGCGACCTCAGCCGCCGGAAATGCAACCAGCTCAACCTCCGCGACCAAGGTCCCGTCCAAGCTCCGCCCCGTCGGAAATCGCAGCTCCTCAGCCGCTTCCCGTCGCACAGCCCGTCAAAGCTTGCGCAGTCCGTTTTCTAGCAACCTTCTCAGTCGCAACCGCCGTGCTCAGCTCCTTTCCGTCATTAACGAAGCTCCGCTGGAGAATCTGCGACCAAGCCATCACGGCAAACTCAAACCCGCCTGCTACCTAACTTTCACGATCGATTCCAGCAGCTCCGGTCCCGTAAGCTCTCGTCCAGGTTCCGGCGACCACAGCTCCGCTGTCCTTGGCGTCGTTCCCGTCAGTTTCAGCAGCTCCAGCAGCCGTGCACCTCTGTCCAGTCCGAACCGACTACGTTCGAGCCATCCTGTTTATATTATTTTTGGGCATGTGGTAACCGAGCTACCCGACTCGGGTCGTTCTCAAAGGAAGGCTCTTCGGAGCTTCGTTCACTACCTAGTCGTCAAAGTCACACAACCAAAAAGGTCCTAAACATTCTACTCGCAATTTGAGGGTTTGAATTTGACATGCGTCATATTTACGTGCATTTTATAGTGATTTTCGTGTCCGTTTCGT